AAGGAACCTCACGGACCGTAACTATTCGGGCGACGATATCGTTCTTGTTGTGTTAATTTAGAAACACACTCTGGTCCGAGATATTTGAAACTGGCTAATTAATAAAACACGATCATTAATCACGAGAGACGCATTCTTCTGGTCAGGTCTACAGCTCAATAAAACTTGTTGTTTCGTTGCGCTGAACAACAACTGAATCAGCAGCTTCGCTCACCCGAGGCAATGCATTCCGCACGATATTTCAGGGCGATCGAAGTGAGTCAGTGATGTTCTGGTTCAAGTTCGGCACAATCCACATCGGGTATAGCCCTTCTGATAGTTCAATGAACTGTGTAGCTAAGCCAGGCGAGCGAGCGACAATATGTAACAGCCGCATGCTGGATCAAACATCAAGAGGTTCGAAGTTGGTGGGGGCGTGCAAACGCGCACCAGATGACTGAAGACCAGTTTTTTGCAGGTTCAACGACTAGTTCACCTACCTACAACAGGAAACTGTAGTGACAAAAATCTAACGTTACGGCGAAATTTACAAAGTGCACAGCCATCAGTTACCGGTAGTCATGGTGGAGTTGGAGGAAGCGTCGTAGTGTGCGTATATGGTCGATGCAGGCGCGTTTAGCACGGAAACCGAATCACTTGGGTCTGATCCCTGAGGAACATAAAGGCGGCTGAATGCTTCTCACAATCGAAGTGAGTACGTGAAGTAGCTAGCATGTAAGGTATGAAAAGAAAGCGCACCTGAACTCGTGAGTGTACAATTTGAGAAAATCTTGCTGCCCTTTCTGGTCCAAAACATCCGCGGAGGGCGGAAGAGCGGACGTGCACACAGAAATTTTGTCAGTGTGTACGTCCTATATTGGTGGAATACCAGGACATCAAGTGCCTTACACAATGTTTGAAATTTGTGTTGGCCAGAAGCAGCTTATTGCCTTCAATGAAAGGCAAGACTCGATTGCCATTTCCGCGTTGATCAAAGACGGAAAACTTGCCCAGGTCGTGATAAGTAATTGGATCAACTGTGTCTGTATGTACATCTGCTCCCTGCAATATCCATTTCGAGCAAGTAAAAAGAGAACAGAACTCCCGGAAGACAATCAAATTTTTTTCGTCATTCGTGTTAGGCGTGGGTGGAGGTCGCAATCGCACCACCATTTACGCTTTTAGGTGTGTGGAGCCTGTGCGAGTGCGATTCCACGTTTGCAGCTCTATTCCATAGCATCGCAATAGCGATAACACACTACGTGCGATCCCAAATTTTTACTACTCTCGTGTTAGACTCAGACGTGCAGA